TGTGTGTGTGTGTGTGTGTGTGTGTGTGTGTGTGTGTGTGCCAAGAACATTTGGGCAGATGGCATCAAGTTCCCCTTAGCTCAGTTTACCCCCTGTGGTCCATTGCTGCCCCTGCGCTGTGTCTGTGTGCCTCCCTTGGCACTGACATCATCTGTGTGTGTGTGTTTGTCGTCCCTCGATGCTGTTGGGGGGTCGATGAGGTTGCACTTTTTGTCAGGGTCATTGTTCTTGTGTGCAGATAACAGTTCATACGAGCAGCTATATGCATGCACTCATGTATATGTTTTTCAGAAAAGAAGAAAGAAGGCCCCTCAGAGAGAAATAAAACACTGCGGAATTAAATTGGAAACAGCTTTCACAGTCCATTTCATAATGAAAGGCCGTCTTTGAGTGGATGGTGCATATTAAGGATATATGAAGGCATGAATCTTATTGACACCCAGGGGACAGCTGGGTCACAGGAGCTGTAAAGAATGAGATATATATATATTTTTAAATGCAATGAAATACATCATCATACATTTTTACTGATGCTGGCAGTGTTGCCAGAGGATATTTTTTCATATCTTGATCCCATAAATGTGTAAAATATATAAGGAATCTGAGCTGTCTATCTTTTTCACCAGATTCTGTCGATAGGAGTCCTGGACATCTTTGGTTTTGAGGATTACGAGAACAACAGCTTTGAACAGTTTTGCATCAACTTCGCCAACGAACGACTGCAGCACTACTTCAACCAGCACATCTTCAAACTAGAGCAGGTACAGTCTTATTATCTACTCTACTCCTCCTCTCCTCTCCTCTCCAGACAATGATTATTGTTTCAGCTGCTGATCACACGACAATGCATGTTGTGTTTTATTGCCTCTCTGACGACGTTAACAACACAGAAACATTCATACGTGATTCGCTCCGGTGTGTCTCGCTATCGTAATGACGTCATAATGGCGTCACATTATTGTGACTGTTACCCGTTGTTCAGAAAGTGCCTTCATGCTTCTGATCGATTCCGCTGATGGAGGCATGAATGGGCGCTCCTGACTGAAGAGATGACTTCCTGTTCAGTGGAGAGCTCTGAGCGCAGTGCAATCCGGTTTAACACACTGAGAGAGGAGCTGCCTTTGTAAGCTGTGCATGTTTTCTGAGGGGTTTTTCCACACGTCTTGGTTGTTTTCTCTGATCTGTAGCATTTTCTACTTTCAATAATGGGCGTCAAATACCGATGCTTGGGCAGTTTCCCTCGGCGTCCTGATACAGATGCACAAGGCCCCCCTTTCTATGGATGGATACGGCTCGGCTAGTATATATAGAATAATATATATAGTGACCATTTGCTGGTTTAGAATTTGCATAGTCATGACTCAACTGCACCTTTATGCAAATGAAGTCAGCGTATCACAAGGCAGCGGGGCTCGCTATACCAACACTCAGATCTAACAGTCAAACTAGACAGTGCTGGTCAAATATGATTCCCTTGTTGCATTGCCTATTTCTTTCTGTGCCTCAAATATATTCAGATACAGATTTTTGTGTACTATAAATTCAGAAAGTTTGTCGCCCGGCTGCCATGTTGAAAACAGCCCAGCAAGCAAGCGGCTCCCTTTCGGCCGGAGCAAACCGGACTGTTTTTGGTTCCTTCGCGTCACGTTAAGGGCGGGAAAGAAGGGTGGTGGATGAGACAAAAACACGGCCGTTTTCCTCAGGGGACCGAAGCTAGAAGCTGAGTGCTTTTTACTGACTATGTGATGTTATTCCATTGAGTCACACGTTTGCAGCCACGCAAGAAACGACTTCTTTGTGCCCAGTGTGTCGTTCAACTAGCGTTCTCTACATTTCTGACATTCATGACCTGTAGATACGTCTTGGGGACAACCCCTATCAATCTATGGTTAAAGTAATTATAAATACAAAACACCTCTCAGTCGCTAAATGGTCACATGCTTGAATGCAAGAAAAGGACAGAAACCTTCATAATACATTGTCACCAAACATCACCAGACCTTTCACTTCAGCCGCTCTCTGCTAGTTGAATATTCCCTTGTACTGTATGAGTGCTTTGTGCTGGACAGCCACGTTCCCCCTGACATTACAGTACAAGCAGCTGTAATTATGTAGCTTGGTTAAGTTAACACGCATACCCATTAAAGTGAAAAAGGTCAGAGGAAAAGTGCTGCATGACCAGAGGAGGCTGACAGGCCGGGTTATAGTGCAGCAGTCAAGCAGAGCTGCTTGTTTCCTGACAGCTAAATGCAGCTAACGCTTTTAGCTTTTTGTACGTTTTCTCTGACTGGGTTTGCTTTGTTTGTTTACTTTTTATGCCTCTAAATGGCCTCGCTCTCCGTTTCTTTTTTTAAAATCTTCTGGTGTAAATTTCATCACCGTTTCTCTTCATTATAACGACTGTGCTGATCAGAGAGACGTCAGCATCATGATTACACTCTCACTATTCCACTGAAAAGGACTATTACTGAACCACTAATCCCTGACCAGCTTTATCTTGTATTCATTATATTCATTTATTCAGTTTTCCACTTTCAAACCACTTAATAACATATCCATAGAACAAGTAAGAAAGCTGTAAGAGGGAAAAGAGAGAGATAATTAGTCTCAGTCGGTTGGACTGTGTCACAGAAGCTGTCGCTCTCGCCTGCTTCGTGCTGAGCCCTGATAGGCCGTGGCAGGTTAGCGGGCGGGCCCGTCACTGAAGGCCAAATGAGAAAGAGCAGTGTTTCAGTAAACGAGTGCAATAACGTCCCTTCAACCTCAATGAAGATCACAGGCTGCCGATGCCTCTGATGGTTCTGTTATCTGTGTCTGACAGTTAGCCCTCAGGGTCCTCACACACATATACACACACACACTGCAGGATCTAACATGTACTAACAAACTGTAAATGAAAAATTGACGGTTTAGCACTCTGGGGCTTTAATTTTACATCTAGAGTTCTTCTCTGCTGAAGCTGATGGTCATACAAGTTAAGATAATTGCTATTAAGGCATCAATAGAAGTAAATAGAAACATTTTTATTTATTTATCTATTCATAAACAATAAAAATATAGAAATTAAATTACAGCACTGTCGGTCTAATCGATCAATGTTCATTATTATAATTATGGAATAAATTGCCGTTAAAAACACAAAACAATGTATCTGATCATATTCGTCAATAGAAACTGAAAAGGAGACTTTTTATCTGTTGCCCCGGACATTAAAGAGTTACTCTAACAGCAGACATACAACATAACATACGTTGTGATGATCGATGTATACTGGATCCTTTGAAACAATAGATGATGCATTATTGACTGATTCTCATCCACCCAGGTCAGGACCGAGGACTAACTGACAGGCAGCTGTATCCGTAGATAGTCAGATCTTAATCCGTCCCCTTACATACACTTAACCTTGTTCGGCCTTTTCAGAGACAATTCTACAAACCACATGTGTGAAAGACGACCTGTCACAGATTTGTAGGTTCTAATGAACTAAAAACTGCGTTCTGTTGAATCAAATCCCAAATGTTCGATATCATGTTTCCGTTAGGGACCAAACAGTCAGTAATTTGCTAGAAACCCTTCCTCTACATTTTACTAAAAATATAAAATGCATTGTGATTCTGTAAAATATTTAATGTTTGTGTTGTCGGTCTCTCTGTGGCAGCAGGTGCTCCTCTATCTCTCTTTCGATTTAACCTTTCGCTTGAAGTTTTTTTTTTTTCCTGTGTTATTTTCAACTAATAAGTGTCAAAGTGCTGTTGAGACGCTCGCCCTCACAGGACGGCGCCCGGAGTTCACGTTTATTATCCTTTAATCACTGGGGTCCTCTGAACGTTTGGCTCTCGGCCTGTCTTGAGTTTATTTGACAGGACAACAGTCGAGGTGGCCGCTGAGCTCTGAGGCCCCTCTGAGGCAGGTTGGTGTAGCTTCCTCATCGAGGGTTTCCAGATCTCTACTGATTTGTGTTTGTTTGAATAAAGTTGTGCAGTTCACGCTCGCGGGCCCCCTCTACCCTCGGCTTGACGTCACGAGGAAAGAAAGCACTCCACACCTCGTCTGATGCATCGTGTTGAGCCTTTAGCTGCTGGCACTCAGTTACCGTTTAAAAGATACAGAAACGTTCCTGTCTTGCATAAACTCAAAAAAGTAAAACGGTATTATACTGTGTTTTTTGTTATTTGTTGTGAGTTTATTACCAAAATATTAGAAAAATGTCAATGCACTCATTTAGAAGAAGATCGTGGCTTTTGATAACCCAAAATGGGGATGAAGTTTCCAGATTTGTCCATCTGCTTACCTCAAATATCTTTACATGGTAGCAAGCCATCTTTAGAAATGTGTTTGTTTTTGTTGTCACTGTGTTTACGTTTTTATTAATTGTGGGAGGAAACCGCGATCACTGTGAGCATAGGTTTTATTTAAATATGTGTTACTAAAAAGGGGCAACTTCTATTCTTCAGTATTATCTACAAATATCTGAAATGTATTGAAGAAAACACAAGCAGCCCAAGTTCTCCAATCAAAGTTCTTGCGGACTCCAAATGATTTCTTTGTAGCCCTGATATATAGTCACATTTTTTAGGCGGTGGTCATCAGCCATCCAACTAAAGGAGCTCTACTCGGAATTCGGAGCATATCTATGGTTGAGAGATTGCCTCAAAAGGGATTTGAACATGGCGGTAGTGAGCCAGCGGCTAGAAGCTTACAGTACGAACAGCGCACACAACATTAGCAGTGCTAACAGTGTGAACCTGGGGGACCAGAGGGCGGGGCTATGCTTCCGCGATGTTATCAGTTGTAGCCACCGTATGAAGGCAGTGCATAGCGGCGTCCATTAGCCAGCCAGCAGGAAACGCAAACATGCTGGCACGACCGTACGAGCTACGTAAACAAAGCGCAGAAAAACTGGAATAATAACACACACAGAGAGACATTTCTCCACTATATCCTTACATAGAAAATAGTAGTTTGCTGCTATATTAATGGTCTAAATGTCGTATAGAGAACCTTTTGAAGGTGAATATCTAAGAAGTATTCGCGTTTTGGTGAGCTTCTGCTCAGTTTGGCATCATCTGCTTTCAACAGTGCGTGTGCTCTGAGATGTTCCGAGTTATTCTGTGCTGTTGTCGTCTCACTGTGTCTCCTCTGTTAGCTCAGAGAAGTCTGACCTCTATCTGCTGCAGTGTTTTCATTTGATGTCTCCATTCTCTGTAGACTCTACGAGGCAGCCCTCAGGGTCCAGAGCACTGCTGCCCTTTTCTGTTTTACCCGGTCTTTAGTTGCAGTCGCTGTTTAGAGAGGTTGAAGTGATAAATAGACATGTTCAAAATGAGGACTGCAAAGAAAGATTATTTTCATTGTCAATTACTTTTTTTCTCATTTAATAGATTTATCATTTTCTCTAAAAAGTGTCAGAAAATACAAAAAAAATGTACATTAAAGCTGCAAATCTTCACATTTGAGATGCTTGAACCAGCAAAAATGTCATTTCTGCCTAAAAAAATGACTGAAACAATTCATCTAATTATAAGAATCATGGCCTTTTGTGGATTGACTAATCAAGAACGATTTGTTTCAGTTGAAACTGTAGCAGCTGGTGAGATCAGAGGTCATATAAAAACGTCTCCTAAAGCAGCTGTTTGTTCGTTGCTGGCTCTTTATGATGAAACTCTGCTCACAGCCACTCGGCCTTCCTTCTAACTGAACCACCCTCATTGCGTGCCTCACACACTGTGTCACAGCTTTGCAGTCATCCGTCTGTTTACGTAGAGTATGTATGTAATGAAATGGCTGATGGGTGTAAGTGTGTTTATCTCTGTAAATGTGTGTCTGCATCTAATTGTCTCTCTGAGTCAACACATCTGTCCTCAAACTCTCTCACAGACACAACAAACTGGGTCAGTTATCTGTGAGTGCACGGCTCGATGAGATTCAAACAAAAGCCGTGCAAAGGTTTTGTCATGGCTCACTTTTTGTTTCGCTCGATCCGGTGCGACGTCTGAATGAAACCAAACGCACCGCAGGTCCTGAATGCACCTCAGGACCAACGCACCGCAGGTCCTGAATGCCTCGTCAGTGATTCAGCAGAACTGAAAAACGGAGGAGAGGGCAGATGTGCCGCATGTGTGAAAGCGTCTGCCAGCGCTGCTTTGAATACTTGACTGTCGTGTCATTTTTAGTAATCGGGTAGTCAAAATATCTTTTTTCCTTCATTATCATAATGCTCGTTCACAAACACATTCACACTCTCTTACATACAAAAAGGGTACTAGCATGCAAAGGTAGAGACGTGCATGCATCACCACGTACAAATACAGTGTGCACAAGCTAACACACAAACCTGTTTGTTATGCACGCATAAACCGCCACCGTTACAGCTTATTTTACAGTTAGACCCAATACACATTCCTGTGCATTGGGTCTAACTGGCTGCGATGCTTGAGGTGGAGTCATTTGTCTTCTTACTTTCTCTCCGTTGCATACGTCCAATCAGAAGAAGTTACTCTGTGACACCAGGCCAGACAACAACATACGATACGATATACTTTATTGTATCGTTATAGCTGCCTCTATAGTAGTAAATAAAAGAAAAACAGTCAAACAAAGCAATATGTACTAGAGCACATTGCACATATTGTACAACCAGATAAGAACATATTTGCACGACCCCCGCATTGTATCATGAATCTATTGCAGGACTCATTCAGCCTCGAGCAACATTATTCAAAATACTTTTTGAGGAAGGCCCAAGTGTGTTTTTAAAACGGTTAAGTTTACATGACGGTAACCTATACCGCCTACCGGAGGGCAAGAGCTCGTACTCGATGTGGAGAATGTGGGATGGATCCCCAATAACCCTCATGGCATTCTGTACCAGATGAGCAAGCTTGGACAGAAAGATCTCTGTCCCATGCTGACATACCATACCTGACTATACTCTCTAGTAACATAATCCTCTGATCCACCCCATACGCCATGAGTCTGCGTCAACAGTGTAGTCTCTGCTTGGGCTAGATTTGGTATCTATATATCATTCCTAGAGGATGATTCCTAAAGATTTGTTTGCTCCCCTGACCTTTTTTTTAATCGGTTTCTCGAATTTGGAATTGACCAACAAAAAGCATCTGGAGAACAAAAACACTTGTTTTCTTTGGCTTTTTCTTGAGCTCACAACTTCTAGATTTTATGGTTTACACTTTATCTCCTTGTGTTTGTACTCTATTGTCTTCTCCGTCTGCTTTTCTGTCACTCTCTTTTCTCTCTCCTGTAAATGTATTTGTTACTTCTGTCCTGAAAAGAGGTTCATAAAGTTTGATTGATTTTGTCTAGCGCCCTCAAAAACAGCTCTGTCCATGATAGCAATTGCACATTGGAAATATGAACTTCTGGGTGGGTTCTCATGAGAGCATATTCATGGGACCCATAGGATCAGACTTGTTCCTCCACCACCATCTGCACAAAATCTTCCCATTTATCCTAAATAAACATCAGTGTAAAACACCATTAAATGTACTAAGTACATGTATTTTCCGAAGGGGAGCAATTTGTCAACGTTGCACACAAGATATTAATCTTGAACAGGCATGTCGGCATAAGATTTTCTAATCACACTCGTGCTTCCAAGAGGGATAAATCCTTTTGTTTCTAATGATCCCACTGCTTTTCATCTAACTATTGGTAACGCTCTAAGAACAACAAAATCAGCAGTGTGTTATTCTTTCCATCATTCATTTGGTATCGGGAGATGTAAAGAACACTGCAGCATCTGGAGGCTGCTGCCATAAGCGATTTGAATCACTGTTATTGATTTTCCTGACACAAAACACCCTCCTTTCCTTCTGTTTTTGTTCAGCTATGGCTCCCTGCCTCGCCAGTGCTGACCCTTAAGTTTTAGTGTCATACTTTGGTTTGCTGAGTATGCTCTTTTCCAGCAGTCCAACAGTAAGACACACTGTGACCTGAAGCTGCTGGAGCAGGAACTCTTTATTTACCTTCAAATGTATCTCAACAGTATTTTTCCAGGGAGAGGAGAACGTTACCCGCAAACCTCCCCTTCCACTATTTCCTCCCCCACTGTTCCTCCCAGCTGGCAGTGGGGTTGTAACTGGTGTCTCTCACTGGTTTCTCCCATCGGGGTATTAAGAGGACACGGGTCATATACCTCAGTTTTCATTGGCCCCAGGGGCCACATAGATGTTACCAATTAACTGTGGTTTTACTGATAATCTACAAGCAGCCAGGTGTTTTCATCGTGGGGGTTCAGATATTTTTTGTCCTGTGGAAGCATTGGTTTGGTTTCATACCACAGAGAGTATGCACAAGTGTAGATTTTGGCGGTCCCTGCGGACAACAGTGGTAGTGTTTCTGAGCACCAGAGTCCCTTTATAAGACCTCTCCTTCTACTGCAGCAGGGTCTGACAGTTAGCCCCGCTCAGTCCTGGTTCTGGTTTCCCTGTGCCTCCCTTCGCTCCAGCAGGCCCAGCAATACGGCCTGGGTCTCCAGCAGCGTGGTGTCGGTGTTGGCTCCCACCAGGGACCGGCGGAGCAGCGACGCAAAGCTCTGCTCCTGGCAGGAGGCCCCGCTGGAGTCTGAGCTGGACTCTGGTGAACCTGCATGATTTCGTTGGTCTTTGCCAGATTTCGACCTGGTGGCACTGATGTCGAGCGTTATACAAATAGCCAAACTTCTCGCTGGCGGTCTCGTTTACTAACGTAGGTCACATAAGGACGTCCATGGTACATTGAGACTGAAGTTCCTCAACCTAACTTTAACATGCGTGAGGAATGACCCTGTCTTCTGACGATGTCATGAAAATGTCCTCAAAAAAAAGACACTGAACCCTCAGATTGTTCCTGTGTACAAAATATTGTACTACTGCCATTGTTGTGTGTATGCGAATATCAACACTCTGAAAGTGTTGATAGTCTTATTTAAGTAAAGGTTGAAGATAGTCAATAACTACAACACAATGCCTTTTTCTCTGTAACACCTTTCCCAGAACATATTTGCCTTTAAAGTATCTACTGACCCAAAGTATTCCTTCCTCTGTGTTTCCCTCTGCAGGAGGAGTACAGGGCCGAGGGCATCATCTGGCACAACATCGAGTACATCGACAACAGCGGCTGCCTCAACCTCATCAGCAAGAAACCCACAGCGCTGTTCCACCTGCTGGACGAGGAGTGCAAGTACGTCACCTGCTGAATTCAGAGTTCATACTTTAGGAAGCAGCGGTTAGCCGAATAACTATAAATGAAAGTTCTGTACTTCTGGTTGGAGATAGATAGATAAATATACATGGTTATTGTTGGCGTATGTGGGGCACCAATTAGAGGGCAAAGTAACGTTTGTAAAGGATTAAGTCTTTTCCCCTGTGTAGGTGTCCAATGCCTCACTGACTTATTTATAATTTACATACTTAGCTTGCCTGAACATTGTGGAGAGCAAAACATATTTCATTGTAGCATGCTCTGTTGATATCGCTCTGCACAAGCACCTTCAGTGCCAAACTGGTGAATCAAAGAGACAAACTCTTCCTCATTAGCTTGATTGGTACCAACGTTAGCGCTTACACCAGGGCTGAACCAAAGCACGAAGACATGCTCGTTCCTCCTCCAGCATCTCTCGATCACGTTTTTTCCTCTCCCTCTTTCTGAGGTGAAACGCTCTCCTCCTGCAGGTCAGCACTCTGCCTCTGCATCTCTCCCCTCCATAAATCAAACCCAGAGCTCTGCCCCCCCCCCACCCTCGCATAAAAAAACATCAGGCGGTACACACACAGCCATATTTATCTATGTTAGCCGTCATCTTACTTGCCACTTAGCATAGCTGGTTCATCTGGATCTAATAACGTGTGAAATGGACCAAATAGTGTGTGTAGAAATATGTACTGTATGTGTGGAGAGGGGAGGGGCGGCGGGGGGTGGGACCACTTTTGGAGAATTAGGGTCAAAGGGGGATCTCTGAGGAGAAAAATGAGGGAGGGACAGGGTCTCTCCTGGGGTTTCATGCTGTCACAGGAAGGAGCTTCATGCTAAATGATTACACAGTAAGAAAGAAAGACACTTAGAGATCTCATCATTCACAGTTAGTGGAGCTCGCGGGGCTTCGGGGCCTCTGGAGAAGTGGATTAGATTTCTGCGGGACAGGGGGGCGAGTGTGGGGGTCCATTTCTACAGTAACAGCATCAAGCCTTAAGCCCCCTGCGGATATACCGCAGCCAGCAGTCAGTTTCAGAGGTGCCAGGCAGGAGAGGTTTAGATGATGTGAAGCATCCCCTTGAGGTATGTTGAGGTTAGAGGTAAATGGGTAAAATGTGCGTGAAGCAGATGTAAAAAACACCAAAGATGAATATCTAAGCAGAAGTGCTGCAACTTTGGTTAAATTTGAGCCATGGCATTACGTTTGTGGCATGTTTTTAAACCCTGAGAGTTATTGGAAGGGAGTTACAGATGTTGTGTTCGTTCTTTAAACTTTGAGAAATGCAGGGTGCAATCATCCGCTGCCACGGTGGCGCTGCTTTGTTGTCAAAAGTAGATGAAAATAAGAATTGGAATAGTTTGTTGTTTATGCTATTTAACTTCCCCTGCTACCACGAAAAAAGTGCCAAAGAGTTTCCCAAAGAAAACATTTGTTGGTGCTTTAAGTTTAAGGTCAGAAATGTATTAATTTTATAGTCTTGACTTTCAAATTTCAGTGATTGAACCTGCGTCTGATTAAAACCGCTGTTTCCTATAGTTTCCCCCAGGCCTCCAATCAGACCTTGCTGGACAAGTTCAAGCGACAGCATGAAGGAAACAGCTACATCGAGTTCCCCGCTGTCATGGAGCCCGCCTTCATCATCAGACACTACGCTGGTAAAGTCAAGTACGGAGTCAAGGTGAGATGCTCCTGTGTGTCAGTATATGCGACAATGTACACAAGTTAAGTGTGTTTGTATTGTTGGCACACCAGCTAACTGTACCACTAGCATCCTGCAGTATTGTGGGATAATCCTTTTTATTTTTGTTTTATTAACCCAAATCTAAAATGAACTCTGACTCTTTGAGTTTTTAACTGGAGCAAAGCTTCACACGGAACTCTGGTCCGTTTGCACCAAGCCGGTTTTGTTTACTTATACAATTTACAGTTTTATGACACATGAGAACAACTGGATTTCATTTGAATAACCAAATCAAGGCTCTCTAAAATGTGAGTCGCTGTTCTTTCAAGTCATGTCAGACTTTATTCCAACTGAAGATTAAGACATGTTTTGAAGACAGGGCTCCATCAGGGATTTGTGGTTACATCGAGATAAATGTTGACTTCTCTTTGCCAACAGAGGCAAACCACAATCTGGATTAATGCTTATTCAGATGTTTTTTCAGGTGGTTTGAACACCGAAGACATAACGCAAAGGCCAAAACTACAGTGGCTGGAATCAGATTTGCAAACTTGTTTTCGAGGTTTTACAGCTGAGCTCCGGATGTCCTGATTGTATCAACTGTTGCCTGATTTTTATCTTCCTTTGGTCGACTTAATAAAGAACAAGTTTCATTACAACTAGCTGCAAATATATGAAGATGGAATGTTTTTATTGTGGATTCAAGCCAAGCAGTTGCTCGATAACCTTGTACTTCTGTGGGCGTCGAACCTGCCGTGTAGGTGTGTTACACCTCAGTATGTTAAACAAAGTCTAATCGCAACAAGCTTTCATTATTTAACAGTGAGGAAACCTATACATGCAACATGGCTCCTTCAACAGAAGTGAAGCTGGCGCGCTGCGTGTTGCAAATCAGGCTTTGATCTTTTCCTAATTCCTTAAATGTACATTAAACAGAACTCTTCTGTCCGTGTGGTTAAAGTCTAAAATCGAAGCTTCTCCTCGCTTCACTTAAACCTTCACGGATCTCTGCAGCCGACCTACTTGTTGTTCTGTCGACCCATTTCTTCAGCTAAACCAAATTCTCCGTTTGCTTCCCAGCTGCGTTTTGATAATAAGCACATGTGCTGGAATGGGGCAAGTGTATTGTTGTTTGACTGTTTAATGTAAATCCATAACAGTTGGTTATCGTGGAGGTGGAAATATATCCAATGTCCACTGAGAGCCAAGGAATTGTTTGGTGTGAATCGTGTAGCGAGAGCCAGAGTCGTTGGCTCGCTAGTGAACGCACAGCTGAGTCGAATCATCCGGAGAGAGAATACGTTGAAGGGTTTATAGTTCATAGCTCTGTTATCGTAGTGCAGCTTCAGTCAAAGTGCTTAATTGCATGCAGACACACGAGGCCGAAGAAGAGAGGGCGCTTAACTTTGTGCGCTTAAGCAAGAGTTTCTGCACCTCATATTTAAAATCCGGGTCAAGTAGAATCTGGGATTCGTTTCCAAGCAGATTATACATGTTAGGAAAAAGTCGCTGAAAACGTCTTTCACCATTTTGAGTGTGATTTCTTTCTTTTTTTAAATCATTAAAATTTGGGTGGGTGGTTAATAACACATGTTTCTGTGGTGGGAGAAACACTGGTCTCCTGGGTGAAAGTCCTGTGTTTGTCTCACCCATTCATCCACCCCGTCCTCGTCCCTACGCTGACTTTCTCTCTCTTTACACTACGTCACCAGACTTCAGGAGAACGCTCTCATGATAGGCTGAAAGCAAAAGATGTGTAGTGATGACACACAAAATGATTTAAGGAGTTGGCGAGTTATTCATTCACCATTTGGTGATACCAGGCTGGCCTACCATCACCTCTAAAGTTCACTAATCAACCACGTGATATCTTGTTGCTCCAAACAAAAGTGAAAAAAACATCAAGTTGCCTATTTACTCGCTTACTTTTCTTGTCTCCCGCCCCACTTCAACTTCTTACATTTTAGTTTTTGTACAGATTCAACAAACAAGATGTAACATGTTCATTTCTGAGCTTTAGAGGTGCTGTTGTTACAGGGCCAGGCTAGCTGTTCCCCCCCCTGCTTTCGGTCTTTATGCTAAGCTAAGCTAACCGCTAGGCTTCATATCTAACAGATGTGAGAGTGGTGTAGATCTTTGAAACATTGGCACGTAATGTCCTGAACAAGGCAACATGTTCTGCTTGAGTTTATTATTTTCTATTTCTCTATTTTGATATATTACTGAAACTGCTAAATGTGCTTTTTTTGATGAGAAAACATCAACAACAGGATAAAGAAGTTATTGTTGTCTGTGTATAATCATGATAACCTCCGTCCCCAGAGGAATAACTAATGCTTGGCTGGATGCACATGTGCCTTTCCTTCAACCAGGACTTCAGGGAGAAGAACACTGACCACATGCGTCCCGACATCGTGGCCTTGCTCAAGAGCAGCAAGAACGCCTTCATCTGCAGCCTGATGGGAATCGACCCAGTGGCGACCTTCCGCTGGGCCGTGCTGCGAGCCTACTTCAGAGCCCTGGTGGCTTTCAGGGAGGCCGGCCGCAGACACACCCACAAAAAAACTGGTGAGGAAACGTCTTTTAAGTCCCAATATAGTAAAGAACGAGGCAGCAGCTTGGAGGTTAGAAGCCCTGAAAACCTGTTTTCTCAATCAGGATCCTACATGAACACACTTTGATCTCAAGTTAGAATGGTTTGGGTTATTTTACATGTTTTCTTTTTCAATCTCACTAATGACAATCAAATCTGTTTTATTTTATGTCACAAAGAAATTTGTAAGATGTGAAGCCGAGTTTTCATTGGCTTCAAAGCTACACAAGAAAAAAATAAAGACAAAATAGAGTCGCCACTAAACACCAAACTAACATTCTGTAGAGTCCAATATGAAGTGACATCACTTTACATTATTAAAGATGTAAAACAAAATCATTTTTTGTTTGTGGTTAAATGATTTGTTTAAGTGAACTGACAACAACAATTTTGATAAGCAAATGTTGTTTATGCAATTTACAAAGCAAGAAATCTCAATATCTCTTACATGTGATTTGTTTCTCTGTTTTATATCATTCTAAGTGAAATATCTTTTGGTTTTGGACCGTTTGTCAAACGCGACAAGAATAATTAGGATCTGCAATGGTAATAATCCAAAATGAAAATATACATACGGTGAAGCCCTAATTGTGGTATTATTTTGAATAATAAAACCTCAGTTTGAACCAAAAATACATTCTCCTGCATTTTGTCAGAAACACAAAAGAACTCAAAAGTAGTTATTTTACCTCCCAAGTTTGTAGCACACGACAACAATCGTGTGCTCAATATAATGTTTCCACATGACTGTTTGTGTACTAATAGATGATCTTAACGTCATCGCTCAACACACACGTGTACTGAACTGTGAATCTGTACCGGGAGGAAAGCTGTTCTCACACTGAGACGTCCAAACTCCTGTTTTAACGGAGCCAAGAACAACAGGGTGTGTTTGAGGAGGAGGCTTAACTTCTGCTGTTGATGATGAAGGAGGAGGAAGACAAAAGGTGTTGATCTTCTTCTGCAGTGTTTATTTTCACAAAGTGGGAGGAGCGATACAGTGCAGTGTTTGAAAATGTCCCCACTGACCTATCTCAGAGGGGTTTGTGTCTTTGTTCTCTCTCTCTAATTCTTATCTTCCTTTTGTTTTTGCTGCTTTTCTTCTCCTGCTTGCTGATTCACCTTCTTTCCCTACTTCCCTTTTCATCTCCTCCTTTTTTATTCATATTTTTTCATTTCCTGTCTTTTTTATTTAACATATATATATATATATATATATATAATTCTCTTCTTCGCTTCCTTTTGCTCTCCATCTCTCTGTTTTAGGGAACGATGCAGCAGTTCCCTGTGTTGTTGTCAAAACTGTCGACAGCTTCAGTTTCCTTCATCACCCGGTTCACCAGAGGAGCCTCGCGATCCTTCAAAGATGCAAAGACGAGAAGTACAGTAAGTAACTCGAAATACCGCGAGACTCTCCGCTGTATTGTATTGAGTCATGAAGGTCTTCTGTCTTCTGGTTTCCCGCTGCAGCAAACGGGGTCCGCCTCAAAACAAACAAAGAATAAAAACACTTTTTGTTGTTGTTTTTTTGCAATTTTTCATCCAATTTCACCTTCTTTTTTTTTATCAAACTTTGAGAAATTCCCTTAAAAATAATAATGATCAATTTGCACACACAACAGACACGAAAGGCGATTAATAAGACAACCACTGTGCAGTTGTTTGTTTAATTGAAGTGACCTGAAGTTCTCGTAAAACCCAATCAGAAGCTGTTCACTATACTCAGCCCATGAAATACATTCATTCCAGGCTGTATTGAAGAAGTCGTTGGTGGTGAAATTGAGAATTATGGATCGCTGATGATTTTCAGCCTCAGTGAGCTGGTTTTATTACAGCTGTTAATAAGATATTGGAAATCGGGAATGATCTGGGTCATTTTGAGCTGTGGTCCGATTGGCTCACCTAACAGCGGAGACTTATTCCCACGCACGAGTGACCAGACAGATGAATCAGTCCCATGTGAACCGGCAGCGTTTGGATTTTCTGGTCGTCTTTTTCCCCAAATTTAGCTTCAGATGTGAACGTTTTTTATTCTACATGTGGGGCTGAGTGTGTATTGTGTGCCTGAACCTCCAAGTGTCACATGTCCTCATGTTGTAAAGCAGCACTTTGTTTTCATGCACATGACTCCAGTGGGATTTCACTGAAATTGATTCCCTTGGAAATTCCCCAAAGATTTTCCCCCCCTGAAGGGAAACTCCACTGATTTTACACATCAGCATCAGTGATTTATACTACTCATGATTTATACTACTCAGCCTGTAAAAACTGTTGTTTGATGTCTTTTGTTGTTGAGAAATATTAAAATAACCCTGTTGATGTCATCAGGGGTTAACTCGCCTTGGGTTGGGAGACTATGAATGGAAGTCCTGTGTTGTATAAGATGGCGTGGATATTTATCAGGCTTAGGAAAAGGAAAAGACACTCAAGTTGCATTGTGGGAAATGGAGGATACAGCATTTCTTGACTCATCGTAGAGACCACAAGTTCTCTACCTCTGTCGCATCAATTTAAACCCTTCTTTTCTTTAAATCTGGATAATCGGTCATTTGTTTCATCTTTGGACAGAGCCAGGCTAGCTGTTTCCGTGTGTGTGTGTGTGTGTGTGTGTGTGTGTGTGTGTGTGTGTGCTGTTTGACCCCAGTTTTGTAAAATAAATCATTGGCTAGTAAAAGCAGTGGGTTTAAACTTTTACAAGAGAAAACCCCGAATGTAAACTGGAAACACCCAGCTCATTAGCTGCTTGTTTTCATATGTAATGGCTCCATCGGTATTACTGTACATTTCCCACTGCCAGCTCCACCGAAACACACACTCTCTCTCTCACACACACACACACACACACACACACACACACACACACACACACACACACACACACACCCCAAACGCTTGGGGCCGACTGGGGAAAAGTAAAGCCAGTCTAAGACAAGAGCAAGATGAAGCTTTAGTAGTGGGTGAAAGTAGCCAGATAGTGCAGATAGAGAGAGATAAGGAGAGGCTGTAGTCAGAAGGCCAAGCAGGTTCTTTCAACATACGCTAGCCTATCTTTTCCTGTGTTCTGTTTTCAGTCCATGATCGCAGGAAGCAAAACTATAACTTTGCTTATTGAATACTGGGGATGCATTTGCTTCACTTGCTATTTTTGCCCAGGCAATCACAATACAGTGTGTCCATGGTGGAAGCAATGTGGTGGTTGGACTATAAGATGAAGTGATGGGGGAGTCCGACATGCTGTGGTCGGAGATAAAGATGTCAATAAATAAAACATGGCTTTTCCTCACATGTGTCCTCCTCTTCCCTCCCCCTCTCCTGTCCTCCTGCCGTCCAGGTATCACTAGGAAGAATCCGCGGACGCCTCTGTCAGATCTTCAAGGCACCAACACCCTGAATGAGAAGGCCAGCTGGTGAGTGCGACCCAAATACAAGAGTCTGAGTCAAATCTGCCTCGAGGGGTTTCAAACTATATGCACAGTGTACGACACCCACCGTCTTTTGACCTTCGGATGAGGAAGAATTTAACCCCAAAAACACATCTTATTAACAGAGTAAAAATGATGATAATAATAAGTATTATTATTATTGTTACTTTAACAAATGAAAAAACATAAAACAGCAGAAATATAAATAATGGATAAAAATACACAGCAAGAACAAATAAGAAGTAACAGTTAAAATACTTAAGAAAAAACTGAAGTTTAAAACTGCAATAAACAGTATTTCTGATGTTAACGTTATCTCAAATTGCTCTTCACTCCCTTTCTCCCCCCCCCCCCCTGCCTCTTGCAGGGATGGCTGCAACGGTCGCAGCTCCAGGTCTGGTCGTCTGTCCTCGACAGGAAGTCCCGCCCTGGAGGAAGACGGGATCTTCCTCAACTCGACCAGCAGCAAGCTCCTGGAGAGAGCGCAGGGCATCCTCCTGTGAGTGACACACACAGAAACTCACTCCAGACTTTTGATTTGTTTTCACAGTTCTTCTTCCTACCTATTTAGAAACTATTGACTCCAATCCGTTTGTCTAAGCTGATGGATTTAAAATCATGAAAATGTGAACATCACTCAGCGGTGGCGGCTCTAATCAATCGTACTGATACAGTCGATATGAGCAAGGAATTAGTTTCAACATGTGTACCTTGTTGTACTTTCAGCAGGTTTTATTTCCCTCTGTTAGCTGGTGGATGGGTTTTCAGGGACAATCTAGGAGGACCTAGGGAAAAAATGCTCTCCATTTGCATTATGGGTAGTGTAGTAGCCAGGGTATTCAGAGGATGAAACATATATATATATGGGTACATCTGTTTCCACGGTATTAATTATTCTTAAATAACAATAATACGATAATACTCTTTGAAATGATATTATCGTACCTTGAATTCTTATTTTAATATTTTTGATATTAATAATAATATTGATTATTATAATAATATTTCTCACCTGAAGGAGGAACAAGAACATCAAAACGAAGCCGAGCCTTCCCAAGGTAAGTCACAAACACGACACAGCACGACAGCATCGTGAGAAGGGGATATCAGAGATCCATTGATGCATCACGTGTCAGCTTGCAGACACAGCTTCATGTCTGGTTTTTTGTGAACGCAGCACTTGTTGGACGTGAAGTCTCTGCGTTACCTGAGCAGCGTGACACTCCACGACCGCATCACCAAGTCTCTGCTCCACCTGCACAAGAAGAAGAAGCCGCCCAGCATCAGCGCCCAGTTCCAGGTCAGTGCTTCCGTCGCCCCCTAATGGAGGATCTGTGAATCACAAAAACATGAGTGACTCAGCAGCAGCTGCACTCTAAAGTGATTTCAGGTTTAAATGAATATATATGCTTAAACATTTCAAAGTAAAAGATGTTATCAACACTACGCCACTTATACAAATAATACATATTGAACTAAGACATGCATCAAGATATGAGATGTTTACACACATTCTTATCAACTGTACTGAAAGAGCAATAAAAAATGAATCTAGAATCATAAATGCAGTCAAACTGTTGCAGAACTAGAGCTGTATTGTTTTGTAACACAAAAGGGGAATTTGTTTCAGTGATGGAAGTAAAAGTAGCAATGACACAATAAACATTTCAAAATAGTGTGTGTGTATATGTATATATATATATATATATATTTTCTATTAATAATCTTAATCTGTAAAGTAACAAGTAACTAAATCTATCAAGAACCTGTTGGTGAATTCCAATATTTCCCTCTGAAATGTAGTTGAGTAGAAGTATAAAGTTGCATAAAATGAGTATCACTTGTGTAAATGTGCTGAGCTGCTTTCCACCGCTGCATTTCTCTCCACATTTAAAGAGGATGTGATGTCCCTGATGTGTGTTTGTGTTTGTGTGTGCAGGCGTCCCTCAATAAGCTGATGGAGACTCTCGATCAGTCTGAGCCGTACTTCGTCAAATGTTTTCGCTCCAACGCAGAGAAGGTAATATCTTCTACAGGGGAGTCATTGCTTAAACCTTTCCTCTAAATGAATGACTGCTGATTTGCTTGTTTGTTTACTTTCTCTTTCTCTCTGTGTCCATCAGCTGCCGCTGCGTTTCAACGACAGCCTGGTGCTCAGACAGCTCAGATACACCGGTATGCTGGAAACCGTCCGGATCCGACAATCAGGGTACAGCATCAAGTACACCTTCCAGGTAATCCTCTCCTGCCGCCGTCTAACAGCAGATCTATTAGTCGATGTGTGACATGTTTATTTCCATGTTTTAATGGTCATTATACTATCTCTTATCTTCTCTATTTCTCGGAGGGAAACTAAGAATTAACTGATGTTGTCAAGCTCCTTGTATCTAAAAACCCGCTTTACACCATGCTGCAGGACTTTGTGCGTCACTTTCATGTGCTGCTGCCTCAAGGCACGAGCCCAACCAAGTCAGGCATCAGGGAGTTCTTCAGACGGATCCACCTGCCGCCTGCCGGGTATCAAGTGGGCAACACGATGGTACGGTTTCTGGAAACCAGTTCGTCTTCGGTGTACCATTTTACTCTGTTGGACTGCAGCGCCACGTTGGTTTAAATATGTTCCCGTGTGCTGCAGGTGTTCCTGCGGGAGGCGGAGCGCCAGCGTCTACAGACCCTCCTCCACCAGGAGGTCCTGCGGCGGATCGTCACGCTGCAGCGCCGCTTCAGGGCCGTCCTGGAGAGGAAGCACTTTGTTGACATGAGGCGAGCCGCCTTTGTCATCCAGGTGAGACGTTGTTGGTGGGGAGGAGAGGTTCAGCAAGTCCGCATCCCCGTTCCTGCTGTCTCTCATGCAGTTAAAAACAGTATTTCTAATTCTGATTAGCTATAAAATGGCCGCTGTAAGTGCATCATGAATAGATTCAACAATCCAGTACAGACAAGGTTCTTCCATTTGAGGAAAAGTCCATTAAGGCTGCATACTCTTAAGCTGTTTGGGCATGAAGTGATTAATAGCGGTGCATTAACTCCAGATATACAAGGAACATGGTCCTCTAAATACGTATAGTCTCCTGATTAGATATGATTCACATGTACAGTTTCCTGTTTTTAGCTGTTATTGCGCCCGCTCTCTTATATTCAGTTTGCATTTGTCCTCTTGGGGGATTTCCTTTCTAAAAGGAGCTTTCTACCGTTTGAAACATGTCAGAACATACTGGAGTATGACATCTTAATAAAAAACATGTTAAAGGCTAACTTATAATCAAAACCCACCTGCTGTGGTTTAACTTCTCACCGTGCTGCAATAAAGTGACCTTTTCAGTGTGACTGGTTGAAAAGTACGCATTCACTATTGTTGTTCGTATTTTTCTATATATGAGCCGTACATACCCCTGTTACAGACGCACTGTTATCTCTCTAAGGAGAGAAAGAGAGAGAGACCGAGGGAGGGAGAGAAGGAAAGAAAGCAAACAGTGAAAGGATTGACGGAGGAAGAAAACACTGCAGTCAGGCCTTCACGTCTGTATGTTTTTTCTGGAAGAGTCCTCAGAGGGGAACTGTCCAAATCTTTGTCAGTGGGAAAGAAAACTAACCCAGTCGCAGGAGCCAATGAGAGACAGATAACATTTAGTAAAACACATATACTCTAAACTGCTGTTTGAGCCTTAATAATTGTTGTTTCAGGACTGAAATTTCAAATACACTGTGCTTAAGATAGGAGAGTTTGTCAGAAATGTATTCAGTAGCTTGCTGATAAAGTTTCTGTTTGCACGCGGTAAGAATACAATCTGACATTTAATGCATTTCTAAATAACAAGAAAATGAATTGATTGTAAATCCACAAATGACTCCATATTCAGATGCGAAAACTAGATGTTTGTCTGCTGTACCGGCAGCCTGTATTTCCATCTACATTTAATAACAATAACATCAAAAAAAAGTCAACACGTTTTCCGTCTCTGTCTTCCTGCAGCGATGGTGGCGGTGCTGCCTCCTCAGACAGTCCTCCGTGGACTCGGCCGATGAGGAGGAGGCGGCGGTGTGTCTGCAGGCGGCCTGGAGGAGCTACAGGGAGCGCAGGAGGTTCCTGCAGCGGCGGGACTCTGCCGTCGTCATCCAGAGGAGCTGGAGGAGTCGCTGCCGACACAGGTGTGCGGCGGCCGTAGCGGTTCAGGCGACGTGGAGAGGGTTCAGGGAGAGGAGCCGCTACTGTCGGACCTACAGGACTGTGACGCAGCTGCAGGCGATGGCCAGGGGACACCTGGCTCGACTCAGGTGAGTGAAAGTTATCCGACAACAGCTTCAGTTAATACAGTCATATCACAAACACTGGGTCGGGACCCTCAGGTGGGTCACTGGAGATTTCATTGGGGAATTTCTTCCATAATCTTTTCTTTAACATTGATATCTGCAGGACATCGTTGAGCCACATGAGGGAGCCTGACTGTTCATATTGTTCTGATAGTTGTAGCTGATTTATAACATTGAATGTCATATGAAAGGCTGGAGTGCATTCTGTTTGTTTTTTGCTGATGACAGGAAAAAACAAGAGCATTTATTTGGTCTCTTTTATAAAGTATTTAACATGTGCATATGTTTTCAATTACGTGTACATAAAACATATTATTTAGCAAACATATATCTTTTCAAAAGGGCTGGTTTACCTGTTCAAGATAACATCAGGTGATGTGGAGATGGAGGTAAAAAGTGTCAGGAACGTTCATCTGCATAACGGTCATTATGTATTAATGCACACCTGGTAGAAAGGTGCGCTGGACGATGGAAACAGTCAGATTTGATCTGAGACGCAGCATTTCGGTCATAAACCTTCATCAGGCATCAAGATCTTTTGAAAATTTGCATTTAAAAAACAATAATACAAAATTCTAGGTGTAGTTTTGAATGTAGAAATAATGTTTTTTTAAACTTAAAGGGACTCTGGTGCATAATCAGCAGCTCATGTTCTACTCTCTGAGCTTTGCTCGTTGCAGAAGGAACCTTGTTTTGTCTCGTAGAAAAATGCTGTAATCAGCATCTTCTTACTGCAGGAAACATTTAGTTTAAAGAGAGAGGATTTTAAAAGCAGCTATAATCAATGTGTTTATATTAACAATAGATCGCATGTCTACTTGTGTGTGGAAGGAGTCGCTCGTGGCGATGCACCCACAGAGACTTCATCACCTGACGCTGCAGTTCACCTCAGTTCTGTTGAGCTCATCGGTTTTGGTTTTCCCTCCAACTTTACAGTTTTGGTAGAAACAAATACATCAGTGTTGTGTTCCCCCAAGTGGCCAAAAAAATCAGTTATTGCAGGTATATGTTAAAATCTGTGTACAGTATATGTTTTCAGCAAAATGATGGTTGGTGTGTTTATAATATTCTGTTCAGTTGTTAATTACCCTTTCTTATTATTCACTGATAATGTCTTTTAGATTCAGGGAGGTGAAGGAGCAGCGTGAAAGACAACAGAGTCCACCAGCAGAGACGGATGCAGGAACCATGGAGGACCTCGCCTCCTCAGGACAGGAAGCTTATGTCCAGGATGTCTCTGTCGAACTGTCCGAAGACTCTAAGTCTGCTCCGTTAGATCCGGGAGAGACAGAAAAAGAAGAGGACTCGGAGCGAAGCAGGAGCACAGACGAGCCGAGCCACAAGAACCGGTCCAAACGAGAGAGCAGGCGGATGAGAGAGCTGGAGCAGGCCCAGTTCAGCTTGGAGCTCCTCAAGGTCCGAACCACCAGCGTCCAAGAAGACTCAGTCCCAGACGGCGGCACCTGTCAGCCGGAAGACCCTCACAGACATTCACCTCGGGGATCTCCGGCGAGTCACGGTAGTTGTGAACTGCTTGGTGTGGAAGACATGGACACCGAAGGTTCCAAGCCGACTGCCCCTCAAGAACAACCCCAAATGCTGGACGTCCAACTGAGAGATTCGAACTTCAATGAGAAGCCTGCAATGGAGCCGCCGAACAAGGCGGAGGGTCCGAGGGCAACCTTTTATATCGCCTCGGACCAAAGTCCAGTTCATGAACCAACGCTGAAGTCCCACAGAGAGAGACGAGAGTCCACGTCTCGTAGGCCAGTAGTGGTGTTGATCAGCATGCAGAAGGAGAGCCCTGTGGACGAGGGGGAGCTGCTGGTGGCCCAAATGCTAGAAGGAGCTCCTGAAGCGGGAGCAGCGTTACCCGGTTCCCAGATGACCCACGTTGCGGGCTCGGAGGTAGCATCAGAGATGGAACAGCCTCACGGGGTTGCCATCAAGTCGGAGAGCGTTGCATCCGGGGTGGATCCGTCCTTAACCGCCCAAGTATCAAGTCCAGAATCGGGGCTTTGCTCCTCAGAGGTGGACATCCAGATCGTCCTGGAGCCGAAGTCCGACGTTCCCGCTGTCCGCCCCAGTCAGCAGGAGAGGAAGGCGGTTCGGCCCCAAAAGGAGACTCCCAGTCCGGTCCTGGACACAAAACCACCGAAGGCTCAGAAGAAGAGCTCGGGCCAGACTGTGATTGTGAACATGGTGGAGAAACCCCCCAACACTGTGTTCTCCCCACCCAGACGCAAGCTGCCCTTCTCCAAGTAAGTGGACCCGTTCTATGACTGAAGGTCAGGGTTCATTGTTTGCAAAGATTCAAATCTGCTTTTAGAACATCTCAAAATACACCAAACCCATACCATTGCAACAAAGAACTTTTATAAGTAAATATTTGCTCAGAAAATCCAGGAAAAGAGCATTATATGTATGTGAATGTGATATATTGTAAAGATTATAAACCCTGATTATAGCAGCTTTGCTTTAGGCTGGTGACCGTTCATTTTCAAAAAGTGTAATGTTTTAAGATGTTTTTATTCGTGCAAACTTCCCCTCCTACATTTCTGTAAAAAAGATGAGATTTTGGCTTTTTCTAAAACGTTGAATGTCTGTTTTTTGTGTTGCAGGTCAGATAAGGATTTGGTGAACCAGGAAAGATCTCTGGCCATGTTCAGAGACGACTCTAAACTTGTCGGATCCAGAAACAGAGAGGTAGGACAACCCCCCCCCCCCCCCCCATTTTTTTAATATATAAAATGATTTTTTTTTTTCATTTTATATATTACCAACTCTGATATATACTGTATATCCTGAACGTATTTCACATCTGTATACACAGATTGATTTGTAGGGAATCTGTAGCTACTTTTTGTAATTTCTGCTAAGAATTTACATTAAAGATGTCAGCGGTCTTGTACACACCTGATGTTCCTGTGGTTACCTGGAAGCAGGTGGGCCGCCCCGGCCCCAAAAAGAAAGCGCGAATGTCCCGGACGCGCTCCGACTTCCTCACCCGCTGTAACTCCGAGGGGGCGACCCAGTCGGACGACGACGACGAATACTACATCCCCGCTCACTCCCACACGCTGCCCCCCTCCCCGTCTCCCCCAAACGCCCACCCCGAGGCCGACTGTCACAGCGACTCTGAGATGGTAAAGCACCGGACCTCCGGAGGTTCCTTGACCTCCAAGCGATCGACTGTCTCCTGTCCACTCGGGGCGCCCTCCCTCCTCCGCCGACGCCTTCCTCTCAGGTGGAGCTGGCCGAGCGGCAAGGGGAGGAGCCTCTAACACTGCTAACCCTCACTTCCGTCGTTCTGTTCACTGCTGTTTGACTCCCGAGCTGCAGTCCATCGTTTCTCCACCTCACTCAAACAGACCGTCACCGTGGCCTGTCTGTAGTCAGTGGCCTGTCTGTAGTCAGTGGCCTGTCTGTAGTCAGTGGCCTGTCTGTAGTCAGTGGCCTGTCTATAGTCAGTGGCCTGTCTGTAGTCAGTGGCCTGTCTGTAGTCAGTGGCCTGTCTATAGTCAGTGGCCTGTCTGTAGTCAGTGGCCTGTCTATAGTCAGTGGCCTGTCTGTAGTCAGTGTTCTTGCACGTCGCTCTGGCTGAGAAGCTGAGACATCTAAGTTGTCACCTGAAGCCTTTTCATCTCACACAAGAGTAGATTTCTCTCTCAGGGAATACTTCAACATTTTGGAGTTTGATCTCATATGTTTTCCTTCAGTACACAACATGCCATGTTGTAAGAAGGTCTGGAACTAACAATTATGTGTGGCAGTTTTGTCCTGATGGACAAATAGTAGGTTAAAAGTGAAAATGCCACCCGTGTCAAAGTATCTCTGTGTCTTCTACTTCTTCTTTAACAACAATAAACGGAGGTTTTCACAGTAAGGACACACAGAAGATCTTCCTCCACTCATACGAAAGCACGATGTCACGCCTCGTGTTGCTCTGCACGCCGTCTGCTGCATGCTGGATTCGTTCAAACCTCGAGCAGAGTGACTTCTCACTAACAGCGTCGTTTTCTGCGCATGAGCTCCGTTTCCCTCTCAACGTCAGCGTTATCCTCTGTGATGCTGCTGATTTCACTCACTCAGCAGATTCATTAATATCAGTGCATTTAGTAGAATCACCAGAACCAGAAGAAGAAGTCATTTACCTCAGTATGTTCTCCTTTTACATGATTTACAAATATTTACTGCATTCTGTGCATACTATACTCTTTGTAGTACAACAAAGTATATTGATATATTACTACATAACATGATGTTTCTGTCCATAAGGCACAAATATAGAGGAACCAACCTGTCTCCAAAAAGCAACCTGGACCAGTCTTCATAACTCAGCTGAAATATATGTTTCTGTTTTCTCACCCAGTTGTCGTTCTCTGCTCTCCAGCCATCTCACAAAGACCAGAAGAAGATCCACAAGACCATGTCGTCCGGGGACCTGGGCAAGGTGGAGGTCCTCAGGAAGACCTCCAGTCAGGATGGAAGGTGAGAGCACCAGAGAGTCTCTAATCGCATAAAAAATCCTCCCCATAGCATCACATTTCACATTTTTGGCGGCTGTGGCTCAGAGATAGAGAGGGTCGTCCTCTAATTCAGAAGATCGGCTTTCGATCCCCCGGCTCCTTCGAAGTATCCCCGAGCAAGATACTGAACCGCAAATTGCTCCCGAAGGCTGTGCCGTCGGTTTAGAATCAGTTTTTACGGTTCTGTAGCAAAAGAAAACACATTCAAGAGGTTAATATTTGTTTGTCTGGGGAAGCATTTTACTTTCTATCTAAAAGACTTTTATAAAAACACTGACTGACTAAAACTGCAATGTGACATACAGATGCATTTCTTGGGTGTGTGTGTGTATTCTTAAATCAATTGAGTTAAATTCATTGTGTTGTGTGATTCAGCAGGATGAGAGGAAGGATAAGATTCTGGAGTAAGACGAAGCACGGAGAGAAAAAGCTGCCGAGAGAGAAGCAGGCCAGCGGGAGCGAAGCCGCAGAGACACATGGTAAAAAATAAATACAAATGAATCCAATCTGCAGACAAATTCTACTTTTATTTGAAGGAGGTCATTACAGTATTCTACAAAATATTATTTGAAAATGTAAAATCAGTTTTATGAAGATTTCCTGGTAACCGAAGCATCTTGATAAACAAGTCATTTTTTAGTAATCCACCTTCTCTCTACCTGCCTCCACATCCCTTCGTCTCCATCCTCCCAGGAGGCCCTTCTTCTCCTCCTCACAGTCCAGATTTGGAGGCAGCTCCGTCTCGGGGGGTCCGGGACAGTAAGGAGAACAAGGAGCCGTCTCCTAAGATGAGGAGGCGTCGCAGTGTGAAGATCGGCAACATCGCTCTGGAACCGGCCCAGTGGCAAAACGACGCCCTGCACATCCTCAGCTCGGCCCACGACTACCGCACCATGAACGACTTCCTCATGAAGAAGGTGAGGGGATACTTAGGGACATCATTTTGGTTTAATGCGTTTACATTTTAAAAAAATATCTGTCTGTGAAGTTTCTGCTAAAATTGCCTAAGAAGATGCATTTACACCCTATGTTGGAGCTGGAATAATTGTGCCACAGTGGAGTTTCACAGCACAGTGTCCACTTTTTAAAAAATGATCCCCGTAAATGGTTGCTGACTTTTTTTACAGCTTGTTTTATTCCCGTTTCATGAGTTGAGCTGTTAACTTAAAAATAAATCATCTGTCCCTCCAGATCGCCGACCTGGAGTCTGAGGACGGTAAGAAGGACACCATGGTGGACGTCGTCTTCAAGAAAGCACTGAGGGAGTTCAGGATCAACATCTTCAACTCTTACTCCACCGCCCTGGCGGTGAGTCCTCGCTGCTCTTCTTCTTGTTCTCTGCTGTGTGAAGAATTCCAGACACTTTTGGGTATCTGAAGCACCTACAACCCCACAAACAGTAAAATAAGTCAACTCAGTCTGTTTTTTTGTGGGCTCCTTAGATCAGAAAGCGTGTTTCAATAAGCCATTTTTTGGGAGGGGGACTTAAAAGGACAGAGGGTGAATACAGGTTTATTCAGACGGACAGTGTGAGATGAAATAAAGTGTTTCTTTGAGCATTATAGAAAGTCAAAACACCGTAAGTATGAACCGAAAAGAGAAGCATGATGTGATTGGCTGGGATGTACTGCAGACGAGGCAACGCGCCCATCTTGCATCTAAGTGGATTAAAATGAACTATAAAAAACAAAATATTCTATTTTTCAATAGGAGAACCCTGAGTAGTAAATGTTTACTTGAAACACAAAGTCACTGATGATTTTGAACATTTCCTTTTCCCACACCACCAGATGGATGACGGGAAGAGCATCCGTTACAAGGATCTCTACGCGCTGTTCGAGCACATCCTGGAGAAGACCATGCGCCTGGAGCAGAGGGACTGGTGCGAGTCGCCGGTGAAGGTGTGGGTCAACACCTTCAAGGTCTTCCTGGACGAGTTCATGACGGAGTACAAGCCCATGGAGGGAACCATCGGCAGGGTAAGAGAGTTAAAGTTGTTTTACTTACTTAACTACCCTTTGCAATAAAAAATAATGACTATAGTTTTCAATTCTTTACATGTTCAGCCCTCACAAGGAAAATTAAAAAAGGCTTTTAAGTGTGAAATGCTATGATTCTTTTGACACATTCGTCTCTTTAAAGGCTCCTAAACGAGAACGCAAGAAGTCGAGGAAGAAGGAAACTGACATTGTGAGTTTTTAATGGTGCACTGACACCTTAAGTGTTTGGATTAAAAAAACAATTGATTGATTGAGCTGAGCTGACCGGTGTCTCTGCTGCCCACCTGCAGGTGGAAGAACACAACGGCCACATCTTCAAGTCCACACAGTACAGTATCCCCACCTACTGCGAGTACTGCTCCTCCCTCATCTGGATGATGGACCGAGCCTGCGTCTGCAAACGTGAGGACTGGACACGGAAACACACACACACACACACACACTTAAATATATAAATAGACACTTAAATCTTTGTCCATGTGAAATTGCAAAAACACAATTGAGGTGCTCTCAAGGCCAGTGGGCTCTGTGTCTGTGTGGAAGTGTTGGATAATGTATCCGCGACCTGCATCCCCTATGCTGACGCCTCTGTTCCTCAATATAATGGAAGAATAATTGTACATTTATGTGTAAACATGTAAAAAAGTCCTGTAAACAAGGTTAGAACCTGCGCTATTTTGACCATGTCTGCTAAAAGTCACCTCAAAAGGAGATAAAATTCAGTTTACCCTGTCTACACTAAAAACATACAAATCTTCACCCTGGCAGGAGTTTTCAGTGACCTAAAACGCTGTGTGGTTTGTGGACGAAAGGCCAAACCGATAGTAAAAGCTACATTTTTTAAATACCTCTGTACGTGTGGACTAGTCCTTAACCAGCCAAGAACTGCGAACAGTTTTTGCAACTGTCATCCTGCATCATCCGCCGGAGCTAAAACAAAATAAACAAATTTTTTTTCCATTGAGAGACAGCGGGTCTGACTGCGCTTCACTGCGCCCTGCCTGTTTATTGAACTTCTCTCTTCTGTGGTGACACTAAAAGCTGACAAATAAATAATGGATCATGAATCCTTGATATCAACCTACTAGACCTTATACTTCATAAATATTAACAAAGAAGAAGGAACAGGACAGAAAAGTGCAGTACAGTGCTTGTACATTAGTATGACGCGTGGGGAGACAACAGTGACAGTGAAAGTCATGGATATCTGTAACACGTTGTAGGAGTTACACACTAGAAAGCATTAGATGAGTGTGAAGCTTCAATATTAACAAACCTGGAAGGAGATTTATGTCACGGAGTACACACCAAATTAACGGTTAATAAGTATTTGCCTTATTTTTACTTTTTACAAAACATTTATTTGCCTTTTGTTTTGCATCTTTGTATTCACCATAAAGGCAGGCTGTGAATATCTGCATGTCTGCCCAATGCCCCACACACACACACACACCCACACACACACGTACACGTACACACACACACACACACATGCACACACACACACACACACACACACACACACACACACACACACACAGATAAATACACCACCAGCAGTTCCTAATGTTCTCCTAACTCACTTACTCTCAGGGTCTGACGCCATGTGTGCGGTTTTTATTTCCACCCACACAGCACATTACACCCCCTCCTACTCTTTTCGCCCACACACACACACACACTACACATTCACACACTTGCCCTGCCTCCCTGAGTGTCGGAAAATATTCGATTAAACCTCATAAATTCATCTTCTATCTAGTTTCAAGCTCCATCTGCACTTTCAGTGAGCAGCAGACATCACATCTAAACTCTGACGCCTCGACGTTTACCGTCTTAAGACTGACTGACTGACTGCAGCTGTTGTTGCAGTTGCGCGGAGGTTTTAGAAGTCTGATCGTGTCGGTCTGTTTTCTGCAGTGTGTCGCTACGCCTGCCACAGGAAGTGCTGCTCCAAGATGACCACCAAGTGCAGTAAAAAGGTAGGAGGACATTTTATTTATTTATCTGAAAGTGTCTGATTTCAGGATGCTGAAATATCACAGCGGTGTTAAAATGCACAAAGATAACACTGGATACGGATATCATAGCACGTCAGTTTAATCATTAAACGCAACAATTATTCATTGACTTGCTGTGTGACTTCATGTCATCTAACAAAGTAATAAAATATAGTATGCCGGCCACGTTTTTGGCAAAATTTTCCAAGTGCTTCTGTTGTGAGTATTTGTACTGTACTTAAAAATTCTCTGTGAGCTCGCTGAGCGGGAATCGTGGTGAAAAAGACCATAATTGCTGCTTTTTTTAACAAAAGCTTTGTCAACTAATGAAACACTTTCTTCTTTTTCTTGGTTTGATATTCAGCCTTTATGTCTTTGAGGTAAAAGCATTCATTTGAACCGTTTACTCTAAAGAGTTACAGTTGCAAACTCCGTGGACTTTTTCTGAAAGCAACACTATATACAGTATATTGTATAATACGAAGTAAAACAATCTTCCTTTAATTAAAATGAAGTTCAATTTATGACTAATAAAACGTACTCTTGCTCCGCTACTGGCTGACTTGATCTGGTGTGACCACCATCTTATGGTGGCTAATGCTAGCATATTTAAGCATATTTTTAAAATATGCTTAAAAATTTTAAGTAGTCCGCCTATAGTCCAATTGTCAGCCTGAGTCACACACAGCAGGCTCACTTTAATGTGACGTGTTTCTGTGTCTGTGTCTGCGTTTGTATTTTTGTACACAAGTATGATCCGGAGCTGTCGTCGCGGCAGTACGGTGTGGAGTTGTCCCGTCTGACCAGCGAGGAGCGAACGGTTCCTCAGCTGGTGGAGAAGCTCATCAACTACATCGAGATGCACGGCCTCTACACGGAGGGCATCTACAGGAAGTCGGGCTCCACCAATAAGATCAAAGAGCTCCGTTTGGGGCTGGACACAGGTGAGACTGACATGAAAATATATGGAAAAATCGTAGTAAAATGAGTTGTACTACCACTACAACTCTCCTACTACCATGACTCTACTACTACTACTTCTTTTTCTTCTACTATTACTAATACTACTACTTCTAAGATGACGACTCTACTACTACTTCTTATTTTTTATCTTCTTCTTCTACTACTTGTACTACTACTACAACTACTACTATGACTCTACTCTGCTACTATGACTCTACTCTGCTACGAGTACTACATCTTCCTCTTTGTCGTCTTCTTCTACGACTCACCTACTGCTACTACGTCTAAGACTACTACTTCTACAACTACTACGATTCAACTACCCCTTCTGCTACTTCTCCTTCTACTATTACTACTACTGTTACTACTACTAGGTCTTCTCCTACTACGTCTAAATAAGCGTTATAGAGTCACAAAAGGAGAAAGATGAAAGTTAATTTGTCTGTTCTAGATGTGAGCATAGTGAACCTGGATGACTACAACATCCACGTCATTGCCAGCGTTCTCAAACAGTGGCTCCGTGACCTGCCCAGCCCTCTCATGACATTTGAACTGTACGAGGAGTTCCTCAGGGCCATGGGTAAGCTCATAATCAGCCCCACCAGTGACTCTGTGTCCTCCAGCCGGGAGTCAGTTTCTGAAGGTGGAGTGTAACTTGGTCTGAGGGTGTGTGTGTGTGTGTGTGTGTGGGTGTGTGTGTGTGTGTGTGTGTGTGTGTGTGTTTGTTTGTTTGTTTTCTCCTCAGGTCAGCCAGACAGGCGGGAGGTGATCCGAGGGGTGTACTCGGTGATCGACCAGCTCAGCAGGACACACCTCAGCACGCTGGAGCGCCTCATCTTCCATCTGGTCAGGTGAGTGATGAGATAAGAAGCAACATCAGTAGTTCAGCCTCAGGCAGGACAGTCTGCGTTTAAATAACTGAGGTTTTGAAATAAGATCTGATCATTTCTTTGCCTGTAAGAAAAGTGTCTGAGTGGCGTTTTCAGATTCTCTTTGTTTTTGTTTTTCTCACTGCTTATGAAACACACTGCATTAGCTGTCTCGGTCACATGCCGTCCTGTCTGTTATGTTTGCTGGGAAATGCTTGTCACGCTCTGTACCATCAGGATTAACCAGATTATACGGTGGTTTGTTTCAGGATCGCCCTGCAGGAGGAGACTAACAGGATGTCAGCCAACGCCCTCGCCATCGTGTTCGCTCCCTGCATCCTTCGCTGCCCCGACACCATCGACCCGCTGCAGAGCGTCCAAGACATCAGCAAGACTACAGCGTACGTCCTCAACTGTCCTCTGTAGTCTCCTAAAGTCACCAAATAGGGCTTGTAAACAAAATAACTATCTGCAACAGAGACGTTTCATGGATCGAAATAGTTTATACAAAAGTTTTCCTTTCTATTTTATGGAAAGGTTTAAGTATATTGTTTTTCCCTACATTATTGGGCTCACACTCAAAGTGAGACTGACATTGTTATATCCAGAGTTAACCGTCCAGGTAGTGATGAAACTAATGTTTTGATGTTACCACAAAGCTTGTATGGAGTTCTGTTGAGAACAGGCAAAGACATAAAGGGGACGCCACCTAAATTACGAATGTATTTTAATTCCATGGCGAAGGAAAGTTCAATCAATATTTTGTGAACATGAGCGACTCTGGCCCAATGCCAACGTCCACACTCACAGACTCGTGAGCTTTGAGGGGCGTTGCTGCAAAGTCAGAGAGAGATCAATGAAGTTTTATCTTAATTTATAATATGACATCATAATGTATTTGTTGATTATATTCTTTATTTAATGTGAACACTGAAGTTATCAAAAAAATATAGTGGAGTAAAATGTGCAACATTTCCCTTTGAAATGTAGTGGAGTAGAAGTATAAAGTGGCAGAAAATGAAATTACTCAAGTAAAGTACAAGCCCCTTGAAAATTGTACTTAAGTACAATGCTTGAGTAAATGTACTCAGTTACTTTCCCCCACTTAAAAAACGCATATATCTCTGTGTGTACCTGCATAAATAAAACAAAGTCATACATTTACAAAGGATTGGTAGGTATGTTTAATATATGATTCTCTGCTTTAAAACTGTAGTTTTTGTAAATTGTGTTACAGCTTGACACAAGTGACTTCCTGTTTACTTAGTTGATGCTTTTGATTGGACGGCGCTACAGATGTTAGCTTACTTACATATGAAGAAAGTCTCTACTATAAGGATGGTTTAATGGTGCAACCTGATTTAGTGAATCAGTTTGAAACCAGCTAGTAGTAGTATTTCCGAATATCTAGTGCACCCCAATCCTGTGTTCCACTTGTGTTCTATTTCTGTTCTACTCTAAATGGATCTCTTCCCCTGTAGGTGTGTGGAGCTGATCATCAACGAGCAGATGAGCAAGTACAAAGCTCGTCTGAAGGACATCAACAGTCTGGAGTTTGCAGAGAGCAAAGCCAAGAGCAGGCTGACCCACATCAGGAAGTCCATGGTAAGATCAGATGATCAGCCCTCTATAGGCTTCTACACCAAGTCACGTCATTCTGAGGATGTTAGTGTGATTAATCCTTATTGCCCGGCATTGGCGTGGATGTGTTTCCTCTCACTCATCATTTAAATGGTGACACACAGTTTTCAGCTGGCATGGTCTTTCACGCAGCCATGGCAGGAGTTCATTCATACATCTTTCATCAACTGCTTTTGCTGGGTTTTTCTTTAACACATGCAGAAAGCTGACCAAATAAAAACACACACTCAATGTGGATAAACCATGAAAATATAGCACTTTGCAAACAAAAGATAAAGTTGTCGTAACATCATGTTAAAATCTCTCCATTATTAAGGCATGTTCCTTCTTACTTCACAGTCACATCACAATTTAAAAAGGAGCTTGCAAAATTATTTTTATTTTATTAATAAAAATAAAACATGCACAAAACAAAAAGGACAGAGTGTTAAGAGTGAAAAGATTAGAAAAACATTAGCCCCACTTGCTAATTGTTAGCATAATGTTGCTCATATTGGTCATTTAAATTAATACATCTGAATCAGAATGGAAAATAAGACAACTGATCTGAATCTGAACTGAACCAAACTAGAATTATGAAAAAGAAAAGAAAAACCTTCCATGGTAGCTGTGAGGAAAAATAGCAGAAGCAGTGACTCACATTCATTGTGAGACATTATGCAATGCTATTAGTACACTGTAACAAGGAATGAAATCACTGTTCTCCCTAGATGGCATCAAGCTGAGTAATATCTATTTCTGGCAAACATTAATCGGAAAGATGCTGCCAACTTATTCTCAAGCCTTTCGAATTTCTCTACCAGCCAGATGTATCTAAACTTTGCCAATAAGCATTTGCAGATCAAAAGATGTGCAGACATCTTGGTCACCAAAAACGTACAAAAGTATTATCAACAACATGTACTAAAAGAACCAAAAGTACAGGTATTTGTTTGTCAGAATGGGACATTATATCATACTATTACTGGCCAATTAATATTGATGCATTAACATTACTTTAATGTTTTAGCTTGTTTATATGGAGCTCATTTTAAAATAGATGGTAGTTAAATCTATAACACAGCATCATATTTTATATTGATCACATGTTTTGTTTGTAAAATCTCAATAGAAAAGTAACTATAGCTGTCAAATAAATATAGTGTATATATATTATTTACGTCTCAAATGTAGTGGAGTAGAAAATACTCAATTTGAATTTCAAGGTACTTGTACTTTACTTACGTACAGTACCTGAAACTGAAACCAAGTGCTCTTGTGACTTGCAAACCACCAAACCTACGCTTACTTGATTCACCGTTCCCTGACCCTAATCTGTCCTTCCTTCCTCCCTTCCTTCCCCCACCCTCCCTTCCTTCCCCCAACCTCCCTTCCTCCCTTCCTCTCTTCCTACCTTCCCCCCCCACCCTTCCTTCCAGAAACCTGTACTAATTGCTGTTAGGTTTATGAGCATAACCCGCACTTCCACCTCGGTATGTATGCCCCTTCTCACACCACCGTCAACAGTCCTGTCCTGTCCTGTCCGTCAAGTCCATCCGATCCGTCCACTCATACTGTCTGTTACCTCCAGTCACAGTCCTCGTCACGTCTGTCTGTACCTCTTTTAGCTGTCTCACCATCTGTTTGAGTATTTCTCACTGATGTGTTACAATATGTAGTACTTCAAAGAGGCTTGAGTGATAACTCTTAGGATAACTTTACTTAATAATGCTAATTGTTCTACCTGGGTTCAAAGTTGACATCTTCAGTATATTTACTATAAAACAGCGTGCTATTGATTTATATCTAGGTAAAGTAATGTGGCTGCCAGCAGCTATGAAATAGACATGACACTGTTCATGTTTCTGATTGGACTAGTCTGACTTCAATTTTATTTCTTTGGAGACTTGATAAATAAACAAAGCACTGAGACTTGATTTGTTCTAATGACTTCACATTTGGAGTTTTAATATTTTCCACAATTGGCTTTGATTCTTTTTGACCTCTTCTACTCCTTGCGGACGACGCGACTGTCTTTCAGAGGCTGTAGCAGGCTGAGATTTAGAGCCAGAGTGAAGGTACTGGTATCATATGAAACTAGAAAAACTTCAGGAATACATTGCATTAAATTGTTTCCAAATATACTGAGACTTCAGAACTTCAGTTGGACTCCATCGTGTCCCAAGATTTAAAGTGATCTTTGCCCTGAGGGTCTAAGGACAGAGGGTGTCGGATGCTGTAAAACCCCTTGAGGCAGATATTTGATTGGTGATATTGGGCTGCTGTATAAATAAAATGGACTTGACTAAAGTTGCTTGTAAACAACTGTTGTGTGACCAGATGGGATTGTAACAGCAGCTAACACATGCTAATAATAATTTAAGCATTGTGTGAATTAAGTTGATTTGTACTCTAAAACCAAAGCAGTGAACTTTCCCCATAGCTAATGTAGTTAGCGTACTGCTAAAATTGTTGAATTGACGTCACGCTTATAATGTAACTAGCTCTTTGTTGTTTGTGTAAAGTTAGAGGAGTTTCCATCTTGGCGTTGTTTCTTTGTCTGCCAAGTCTGTGCGGAAACCAAACCAAGCTAACTACCTTGCTAGCTTGTTGCTAGCAGGATCTATGCTGGCAGTGCTATCAAGCTAACCTTACTGTTGCTGTGGGAGAAATTAAGGTTATTAGTTCTTGTATCGTGAATAAAATGGGTTAAATTAGGCAAATGCCGTATCTTTGTACAGTTTTAAGTCCAGGTTCACTGTACAGTGCTGCTGTAATGTTTACTGTAGTTGTGTCTTGTGTTTGTGGTCTGAGAGAGCAGCACTGACTGCGGTTTGCTTTCTGTCTCTGCTCTACAACTTATTATCATGCAGCGTAACACAGCTAAACTTAAGGTAATGCCTACCTGTGTGTGTGTGTGTGTGTGTGTGTGTGTGTGTGTGTGTGTGTGTGTCTAGCATAAGGTGTGTGTGTGTGTGTATGTGTGTGTGTGTGTGTAGCATAAGGTGTGTGTGTGTGTGTGTGTGTAGCATAAGGTGTGTGTGTGTGTGTG